CGATACATTTGTATTGGGTTGAATGGCTATATTGTGCTACCGAAGCCCGTTTTATTGTCAGCAACAACGCTTTTTAACGATCTAGGAAACCCTTGGAGTCGAACAAGTTGGTCTTTTGTCTGTTTTTACTGTCTTCACCGGATCTTAAAATTCCTTTATAGTCTTGTGTTCATCAAACATGCAGTTTTATTTCGTATGGCTTCTGGCGAGATCTACGGCGGCTGTTGAGGAAGACAAAAGCTGGCTAAACTTTATTGCTTTGAATCAGTTGTATTGCTTTATCGATACAAGTGTACGATCTTTACCATCAATCAACTACATTATCCGTTACCAATCTACATTATTTTGGGTATCTCGTTCAATCGACATTTTGGACACATCGGTTTTTGTTGGGGAACCATATTCGTCCCGCCCATTATTTGCACAATTTGAGAAGATTATGGTGGAAGCAAGTGTGATTGCTCCAATATTGCTCGAAATATATTGGTCTGTCACAGGATCTTAACCTTACTTGATCTCATCTCTTGCTTACTTGGTCTCACCTACGTATCACTTCGAGGTTGTCAGATACGTATGCGTAGAACCGGCGTGTGCCATATCTACCTGTCGATCTTCGTCATTCAGTAGGTTTATTCGTTTCCGCGAGGCTCTGATGGTACTTCTCTTGTTCATTTAAGGGGCGAATAAATCTCACTAGCTGTCTTTTGATAGATCCATAGTAAATTTATCCTTACTGTGGGGTGCTTCAGAGCACTATCCAACGCTGGCACCGGATGCTGGAAAATTTTACGTTCTAATTCCACAATATATGCTATAAAACGCCGGTCCGTCTCAGGTCGCATTATATTTTTTTGCTACCTTTCATCTTGCCAAGGTGAACTTTATCCCTCGAATTGCATTTTAATCTGGAAATAGTGTATTTTCTGCTTTCACCCGTACATGGTCTCGATGATGCACTTGTAGTCGAAGGGCGATAGCTCATTTTACGAGACGATGCCAACTCTCCACTGGTGCCCAGACGACCGACTAATATAGGGGCACTCCGATACCGTGTAATTGCATCCCTTATTCAGCTTGAGTACCCGTCGGTAGGACGGGTTGCACTCTTTCGGCGGACTCGTGCCGACATATAATTGACCGTGTCGGGGATGAAGCTTGTGATCGTGCGAAAATCTTTACGCGATCACAAATGTTCTGGTATGTTATTTGATGTAAGCTAATCTGATCCAAACAAGATCTCCTCGTCGACTATGTGGATGTCCGATACATGAGATTTCTGACCACTTGAGCCATCTCAAGATCTTGCGCCTTAACCTTTAAGTTTTCGCTGCTCTCGATCGCAGTTGGGGGGACTGAGAATTTTTTATCCATAGCCAATTATTTGGGGATATCACTTAATTTCGTTGTGCGCGATTTTCTGGACGTTGAGGGGTCAATATTACGGCCTGAAAGGAAAGTCGACACGTGTACGTAGAAGCAAATAAAATTCTGTTATTGTTTCCCATACAAAAGATAAAAATTACATTGTGCCTTTCTGTACAACATGGCATGCTGCCACTTGTTTTCTGTATTCCGTTGATCTTTCCTTCGCATGTGTGGACCACTCCCGGTCGATCATCGATAAATCTGATCATTGATTCCCTTGACCGTCAATTTCCATGATCTTCGATCACCTTGATGGTCAACAACCCTTATCTATTGTAGATCGCCTCGATCGATCGTCGATCATTGATCGCGGATCACTCTGATTGATGATCATTTTAATTGATTGTCGATCACTTTATGTTATCGAACCTGGTATCTTGGTATTCGATATTGGTATCTTAAAATTGATATTGGTATCTTGATATCCAATCTCAATATTGCACAGCCCAACAGACAAATAATCCTTCTCGAAGACTTGTTGTCGTTTCTATCATATAACCCATCGAATACTTTGAATGACCTCAAATTGCTCCACCACAAACTCAACTTTACTTAATTGGTCGAGCGCTGTGACCATACTTATCCAGATCGTTTTCGCTAGGTTGCGTAAACAAACCTTGGGATATTCTCAATATTTCCATTCATCATCGCCGTACAAATGTGGACTTACGATCTATTAAGACCTGGTGGCTCTCTTCGAGAAAGCAATAAGTGGTGATATCTTGACCGGTATCTCTAGGGAGCCTCTCCAAGCGTGTCAGTTACTTCACCTCCTATATTAGTACATTTAGTTTCCTTGTAATCTTCTTGTTCAATTCTCGCCTCCATCAGCTGTCTAGCCTCACAGCCTCGGATAACCCATCGGACCTTTGCGTCAGAACTAACTTTTGCTGAAGGTATCGCACGTTCTTTGCTGTTTGTTCGACTTCATTCCCGATTCGGTCGATTTACCTCCACTAGCTGATTTCAAAGACCATTTATCCAGACGGCTAAAGTTACACATACCGTATTTCGCCAGTGCAAGTTTTTGTTGTGTTCCATACTCTAAAATGCTCCAGATTAATACCAGAGTGACGGATCCGATTGGAGTGTTGGCTTGTATGAACTGACATCACCACTAAGCACCAACTTTTTCGGTAAGAATCTGTCTAGTGACAAAACTTTACCTCGCTCCCCATATTTCACCGTTCAATTTAGGACAAAATATCCGGGATACATTCTCCCACACTGTCAACTTCACTCATTTTCTAGTCTCATTGGTTTGAATGATGCCTACGACGCAACAAAATTTATCGTCATTGATCGTGAAGACCGGGAAACCTTACTTCCGATTCTGCATAAAACTACCCAATCCGTTTCGCGTTCCGACTACTTCCTGTCGGTACTCGCTTCCCTTTTTTCAAAGCATAATTTCTGGTGTGATGCGGTGCCCATATGTTGGTTGCATGACGGCTGTCGAGATGGAGTGCCATCCTTAGTACGACTGCGTACTAGCGTCTGAACTTAATTTTTCGTAAGCCTAGCCTTGTGTCCTCTTACCGGGTCTCCTATCACATCTACAAATACCGTTCAACTATCCACCATGATTGTCTCTTCTTCTCTATTTAACAACTTTAAATTATTTATAATTATTTAATACGTCTACCTGTGCCGTCGTTCTTTAGGAATATAATCTCTCAGTAGAACAAAAGATACTTCTACTATTTTGTCATCAGTTTTATTCGCACAACCCAATCACCTGTACGCTTTAGACTTTTCTTGCTTCCGCAATCTTCCTAACCAACAGATTGGTTTGCAGTAGACTTTGAACCATGTCGATCAAGGTATAGGGAGAATTAGTGTCGTCCGCCGCCTTTTGCCTCTTTTTTGTCGAAGTGCAGTTCTCCTTACAACACGTGTTCCTCCAGTTTAAATTTATAAAACGCGATCATTTTTACGAATTGTACTATATCTGCTGTCTGAATAAGGTTCAAGATTAGCGTAACAAATTCTGCTCATCTTCGGTTAATCCGCAAATCTATACTCGACCGTCGTCTTGATCCGATTGTCGAGACTCTGCATGTCGGGGGAAGTCCCTATTTTGTCTTGCGTCTTTGTCCGCGTCTCTTTACGACATGCGATAATGTAAGTGGTCTCGATATTTGCTGGCACGCAATAAAATTCCCCTTTCACACTAATAAGGTACATTCGTCTATACATATAAGAACCCTTATCGAGTATTAAATTTTTGTTTGAGAAACTCTGTTTTCCAAACACAAATGTATACCTCACCAAGCTGCATTACTTGGTTTTTGTCTATTGACTCTGTAAAGAGACTTAAAAAATAGAGTACTACAAAACAGTGCGCATTACACCAGTCACCCTTCTTAGCACAAATTGGACTTGTCACATTCTTGCATTGACTTCCATCAGCACATTTGATTTCATTCCACCTTAAAGATGTCGACAAAGCGAACGAGTCTCATGATGAAGCACAAGCGTCAGGTTCAGGTGCACATCACAAGCACTCAAGCACCAAATTGTCTCAAATACAAGACTGGGGTACAGAATACCTCGAATTCCGGATCTCCACAACGGTAGCAGAACAATTTCTCCAGGCGCCCAAAAACACATACCTTGCCACAGGCAGGAAGCGGAATCGGAAGGTACTATATCCATCATTTAATATTGCAACGACGATAAAGCAATTCTCACAGACGAGCTAGTAAAAGAAGGAGATCACTCTCTCTGAGCCGCACAAAGGCAAAGCGAGAACGAATTGCGGCTTTCGAATAGGTGGCTAAGATTTTTTTTTGACTCGACACGGGATCGAGTAGCGTGGGCTTCAATGCGAGGCAGAATCAGTTGATCGCGCTCAACTGGCAGTGAAATGTATTGAACTTATAGAGCTGATTGGACTATCACTGCAAGATGTATTCAGTTTCAAAAATCAGCTCTCTTCTATCGCCTACCGTCAAACGATACACTGACAAAGGTCAAACGCTACGGAAAGAAGTTAGAGCTGGATCGTATCATAGTCGCAATGTGCTGTAACATGACCGGCGCCAGGAAGATGGATACCGTTGTCATAGGCAAGTCGAAGCAAACACAAGCATATCTCAAGACCAACACCAAATAAATAAAGATTTTGTACTCCAAAAACCAGAATGCATGAGAAAATAGGTCACCGTTGCTGAGTGGCTCCGGCATTTCGATGCTAAGATGCACGGGAGGCGGGTGCTTCTCCTCCTGGACAACGCGTCGTGTCACTACGGCACCACTGAATTCTAAAATGTGAATCTGGCATTCCTGCTGACAAACATGACAGCACAATTTCAATTGCTAGTTGCAGGTAAGTTTATATAGATATTCTCTTGACCAGGAATTCATCACGTTTTTTTCTGATAGAAATCATTCGGTCATTAGAGCGCGGCATCAAAAAGATTTGTTCTATGGCTCTTGGATGCAATATACACAAGAACCGACAGAAGATTGGATATCTTGTAGGATGTGCGCTTCGCTATATCGAGCTAGGAGGACCCGAGCAAGTAATTCGCAACTGTTGGAGCAGGTGTATAACCGCGGAAGCGGTAACAATGTCCGATCTCACCCAATTACGCGACTACAACAAACGCATTGATCGATCTGTTGAGGATGGGCTAACCAAGCTCATGGATGGTTTGACTTGCGGCGTCAGTGTCGACGAGTACATCGGTGTGGACGACGACGAGCCGATTCAGTGCGACTAAGACAAAATGAAGCATGAGGCTGTTGAGAACAACAGTTGTATCGGGGTAGCCCGTTACATGATGTTGACATCAAACGGTGTCAATAGGGAGATTGTCGAGCGTGACAATTCCCTGCCAATATTACTCGAGATGTATAATATTGAAGGAGCATTATCCTTTGTAAGATACTATTCATGCGCTGCTCAAATATTGGTTGAAAAAAGACATTTCAACCAAGATTACCACCAATCGCTGCTAGATGCGCGTAATGAGTGGTGAGCAGGTTGTCGTCATACGACGACGTAGTCTAATTTAGTTAGATAAAGACTGATATATTGATAGCTTGACTACATTAAATGCAGTTCTCTTTTTACCCTTTGCTCAAACTAGCTGTTTAAGTAGATTAGCTTCCCCTCCACGTACCAATGTTCGTGAAGTTACGTGGCACCCCACACAAAGGGTGCCCCGTTACAACAGTGATGGTGACAGTACCTATGAGGTGACGATCATGCTATCTAATGCTCTAGAATCTTGTCTCCGCCCGTCAACCTTTCTTTTGCTACAGCACGACAATGACAAACTGACCAACAAAGCTGACAAGTACCACCGAGCACGTGGAAAGCAGCGCTCCACGCGAAAGACTCGGTGTTATACGGGTGTATCTCTTAGAATGGGTTCAGATTGACCCCATATTACCAATGTGATAAAAGAGAACGAGGCAAACGCGCCACGCACTTTGGTCCGCTACAAGGACGGGCGACTGTAGTACAATTATCTGCCAATTTCCACAGCACCATGATATCACATAAACGTACTTTCGTGTGTAGTTCCTAGATAAGGACTCGTAGACCAAGCACCCCGACACATTCCACCCTCCTCTAGTTTATTGTTATCATCTCGTGATATCAACTATCCCAACCCACCACCGCCACCAAAAGGCTCCCACACAACTGCTAAACTCCTCGTGCCCACGGCGTCTCCTAACTCAGTACGTAAACAATCCCACTCAGTCATTGGCTGGTGGAGAGAGCTCTTGAAAGTCGCGCAACAAGAAGCGACGGACCCACAGCCAGCGCGCCGTCGCTCTTCTGCGACCCCTCCACCCCCTCCTCATCCAGCCCCTCGTCATCAGTTGATACATTACAGCACCCATGGACCACCCCAATGGCTCTGTCCCTCCAGCAGCAGCAGCAGCAGCCAAGCACAAGCACTCGAGCGCGTTCCCCGAGACGGACGAGTGCCTAGTACAAGCAAATGGCGTCTCGACGCTACCGGCTGAGCCCATTGCTGCACCACTATCGGACGACGTGTCAAGTCTCGAGACGCTGCAGCGTGTGCAGAGTGAGTACAAGCCACTGATGACGGACCTCACGGGTCGATTCCGCTGTCTCCGCGCGTTATTGAGCGAGTTCTGGCCCGAGTTGCAGCGGGACCCGAGGGACGAGACGCAGCTGCCGGTGGACAGTGACCAGCAGTGGTTCTGGTTTACTGAGCTGCAGTTTATGGTCATTTTCCTCTATGAAGTGGCGTTCATGGAGTTCTCCGTGAGCGTGACGAAGCCAGACTCGATCACTCTGAAGCCAGTGGACGAAGAGGAAGAGAACCAGCAGCAGAAGAAGCACAAAACAATGACAACTACGACCGTGACCAGGAGGACGACTATGACGTTGTCGGATCGTCACGATATGGAAGAGCGCGTTGCGTTTTTAGGCCGGCTCAAGACGTACGTGACTGATCTGGCTACGTGTCGCTTGGAGGCGACGAAGAAGGCGGACAAGAGGATGCCTCGAGTGTTTCGACTCGCCGAGATGTACAAGTTGTCGACTGGAGAGACGACGTTATTGCAGCTGCTTGTGGTCATGCAGGGGTGTCAGAGCAATGCCGTCCGGTGTCAGATTCTGGATGAAGATGTGCAACGCCGCGGCTTGACTTGTCAGCGACTCTCGGGACTTTCGGAAATAGATGTGGCTGAGTTTCGCGACGATGAACGCGAACACGTGAAGGAGGGCACGCTTATTGTGGATGAAGAGTCCTACGGCATGTCGCTGACGCTGTCCAATATATGCGTGCGTGTGTTGCTGGGACGACATTTGACGAGTAACCAAGCACTGAAATTGAGTCAGACGGCGCTGGAAGAGCTGCTCGAGGGCGAGGGATTGTCTTTTGGGGAAATGCTAGACACAACGACCTCTTCGACGTCGACCGATGCGAATGCTCGTCGACACAAACGCGATCGCAGCGTGGAAAAAATAGTGCTGGATGGGGGACATGAACAAAAGGATGCGGACCAACAGCTAGATGACGCAAGCGATAGCGAGATGGATGTTTGTAATGAACAGGAGGATGCCAGTGCATCGGCTTTCTCGTTCATTGGCAAGTACAAGACGGAGCGTGCTAGCAACCAGGCGAAGGCCGACGACCAGTTGTTGCTAAAGTCGGGAGAGACTGGCAATGGCAAGCACCAATTATCGTCTTGTTTAGTTGATTCAAGCGAGTTGAAGCCGTACAGCCCAGAGAATCAGCTTGAATACCTCGAGGATCGGTTCCAAGTTGTGGCGTTTGCCATTCGAGCGTCTGGTGCACGCGTAAAGGATCAGATGAAAGAAGCAGGCACAAAGCAGCCGTGGGAAACGTCCACACCAGCATCTGCAGGCCGAAGGGAGCTCAAGGCGAAGCAGCGAGTATACAATCGCCGTACTCAGCACCGATTGGCACTGACGCAGCAAGCTGGTCACTCTTTGCCGCGACTGGAGGAGCTGGCTGCTAAGTTCAAGTTGAACCGATTTGAGCAGAACGTGATTGTCATGCTGATTGGTAAGACCATTTCGCCCGTCATCAAGAACTTGATCGATGGCGTGGATACGTCTCCTGTGCAGCGCATGGACGAGAGCGTGATTATCAATCAAATTCTGTCGATTTTCTGCGATACTTTCCAGGAGCAAGTGGCGCACCGTGTGTTCTTTTACAAGTCCTCGCGTCTACTGACCCGCGGCCTTGTCAAGCTCCACCGGGGGCGGTGGCACTCTACAGCGGGAGACCTCGTTGATCAGCGTGTTGAACTAGACCGTCGCGTGTTAGATTGGGTGGTTGGCCTTGACACGGAAATGAATGAGCTGGTCGAAGGCTCGGACTTGTACACGCCCAAGGTGCAACTGGATCAGGTGGTGATGCCCGAAGAGCACAAAAGCACCATCCTGGAGACTGCTGAAAGCTATGAAAGTTTTCGGCGATACCGCAAGAAGAGCGGATTGGAGCAGGCAGGAATGGCGTATGGTGCTGGTCTAGTTTTGTTACTCTGTGGCGCTAGTGGCACCGGTAAGACGATGACTGTAAACGCAGTGGTGCATCATCTGAAGAAACGCGTGTTACTGGTGGACTTTCCATCGCTTCAGGGGAAGCGCCAAGAAGGCGTAGAGGCTGACGCGGACTTGCGTGGTCTGTTTCGCGAAGCCGACATGAGCAACGCTGTGCTTTTCTTTGACGAGTGCGAGAACATTTTTCGGCAACGTGATGGTGGCGGAGATCGATTGCTGAACGCTCTGTTGACTGAGATCGAGCGGTATGAAGGCATTGTGTTCCTAGCGACCAATCGACCGTTCGACCTCGACGAAGCAATGCATCGTCGTATCACTGCTGTGTTCGAATTCAAGGCACCGGACCATATTCAGCGGCGGAAGATTTGGGATGTGCTTTTGCTGCGTGGAGCTCTGCAAGTCGAGCCTAGTATTGATTTGGATGCCATTGCACTGAAGTATGAACTTAGTGGTGGTTTCATCAAGAACGCCATCCTGTCTGCTCTTTTGAAAGCCATCTCACGAAGTGGCGAGTCCCCAGTGATTTCACAAGCTGACATTGTGGCCGGCTGTGCGCTGCAAATGCGCGGCAGCTTGCACATGAAGACGTTTGATCATCGTGTCGTGCCCACGAGTGGATTGGATGAGCTTATTGTTGATGAGTCCGTGAAGGAGAAATTGCGCCGAATCGTGCACTTTGAGAAGGCGCGTAGTGTGATTTACGGGCAGTGGGGATTCGATTTCGGGCAGTCCAACAAGCAGCAGAAGGGTGTGAGTGTGTTGATCTGTGGCCCACCAGGTATCGGGAAGCTCAATGCTGCGAAGAGTATCGGGTTTGAGATTGGCCGTCCTCTGAAGGTGGTCAGCTTTGGTCAGCTGGCAGCCGACTCGGCTGCTGCTACCCGCAAGGCGCTGCGTGCTGTATTCGATGATGCTCGTCTGATGGATGCCGTGCTGGTGCTTACCGGTTTCGAGTCGTTTGGCAGCCACATTGAAGGAGGCATCATTCCGATCGATAACCTCGAGGCGTCGCCTCGTTTCCGCATGGAGGTGATGCGTCTTCTGGAGCTTATCGACACTTTCCCGAGCACGACCATTTTGCTGGCCGATGTAGAAAAGGTGGCGTCGTCGTCACTGATCCAGTCGGAGTTCTGCCGCCGTCTCAAGTTTGTCGTGGAGATGCGAAATCCGAACGCAAAGCTCCGTGAGAAGCTCTGGCGCGCATGCTTTCCTCCCAAAGCACCGCTGGATACCAAGAAACCCATTGACTTCCAGCGCCTGGCTGATCGTTTTGATTTGAGCAGCACAGCCATCAGTGACGCAGTGTTCCGTGCGGCTGCTAGCGCAGCTCTGCGTGAAGAAAGCAGTCGCGTGATTACGATGAAGGACCTCGTTGATGCCGCTGAAATCGAGCGACAAAAAGCTCGTGGCGGCGCTGCGGCCATGGAAAACCTGTTTGTCTAAGTGGAACAAGAACAGCGGAAGCAAACGTCAGTCTGATGCACACTCTCGTTTCGACAATCACGGGCCTCTGCAGCTAAGAGGGAGACACGAGAGTGGACGACCGAAAGATAATAATAGACTTGGCAGTTGAAGTGGTTGGTAGTAAACACGGCCACCGCGCCTTCGCTCCTCGTGTTTAAAGTCCTGATCCTTGATCAGAAAACTTAGCTTGCTAGACAGACCACATCATCCTCTTCCCGGTGCAGTCTCGTCGCTCTCCGCGACAATAGCAACAACAACAGCAGTAGCACCACCCTCACCATCATCACGGCCATCGTCAGCACGCCCTCTAGATGGAGAAGGGCAGGTCGTCGCCACTCGTAAAGTCGCGCACCACTTCGTTCTCGGTGATCGTGACCGTCCGGATGACACCACCCGAACTCCCGTCGCGCGCCATCGCATGGGCCAGCACCTTCTTGACAAACGCCTGGCACTCTTCCTTGGTCATGTCCGGCCTATTTTCCACAATGATACAACGACACACAAATAAGAAATCGAAAATAATACAAACCATGCCCCATTCTCTAAAACCTTCTCTCTAACTAATTTGTTTCCCCCTAAAAAAAAGCACGTGCGTATACATAACAACACACACACAAAATAACAAACCCTTTGCTATTCCTCACCTATACTCGGCATCCACGAGGCCATAAATATACGTCGAGCCACTGCCGCCAATAGCGACATTCTGCTCGACCATATTTCCGCCAATGGGAATCGAAAACACCTGCCCGCCTTTCACCTTGTCCCAGCCCGCGACAATCATTCCGGCCACCAGGCGGTCTTTATTGTGGTAGCACAGCGAGCGCAAGAGCGTGGCGGCCGCGTGGACCGTCGGCAAGCGCCCGAGCTCGACGCTGTGGGAGCTCAGGTAGTACCGCACGTAGTCACTCAGCGCCTGCGTGTCGGCCGCAGAGCCCGAGCGACAGCAGAAGAGACGGTCGTGCAGCGGCGTGAGCTTGTCACTCACGCGATTGGCCACGTACGTGCCCGTGGACGTGCGCGAGTCAGCGCCCAGGACGACGCCGTCGTGGAACCGCACGGCGATGATGGAGGTGCCGGCATCGACTTCGCCGGGCTTGAGGAGGATCATGGAGCCGTCGTGGACGTCGTGCGGGGCCATTTGCTGGGCGTCGGGAGGGCGTTTAGGTGGGACGGATGGGATCGCTTTTGATCGGGTGATGTCGTTAGCGATTTTGGCGTGGGGTTTTGCTCTTTTTATCTATCGGTCGATCAGGTTAGAGAAGTTTTTAGGCAGCCTGAGACGTTTTATTCCTTGGTCGAGTCGTGTTGTTGATATTATTCTTTGGAAGAGGGGGAGGGACGACGCGTGTCGATGTTGCGCGAGCTTTTTTGATGAGGTGGGAAGGGCGCGGGTGGAGTATACGTTGGGATGTGTGTGTTTTTTTTGCGACGGACCTTTGAAATCGTATATTATGGAAGCTCGCGTGGATGTTGTTGAGAGATTGCAAAGTGCGTGGATGCGAAATGCGTCAATGGGTAGCACGTCGATTCGATGAGTTGTTTTTTTGCGTTGACGAGATCGTTATGATCAGGTTTGCAGCCAGTCAAGATTAGCAGAAGTTAGTCGATTGAAGTACACAAAGCAGAGACTACAGACGTGCAGAACGCACATTGCCTTGATCGTCATCCTATGCATGAAGAGCAGTTTCTCGCAGGCACACGACAGATCATCGCTGAAAGAAAGGGTATGCAAACAACAACCTTGCAATTGTATCTCGTGCAGTGCAATCTAGCTCGTACAAACACCGCAGACTCGATGGTTTCGATATGATAGCAACCTCATTCATAGTCGGGTTACCAGTGCAGAAAACGCGAAGCGATACGTTTCCATCTTCCACGGTCTTCCATCCCGTCGCAGTGTCCCCCTCTGACTCGTCACTTCGATGCGATTTCGTCTTACTCGAGCGCAAAACTTGAGCAAGTTATGGCGTGTTCTCCCCTCTCCTCGTTTTAGCGATATGCTGCTGGTACTGACGTTAGTCAGCGAAAGCGGCGGCGTTAAATCCAGTGCTGAGGTTATCACATCGTTACTTGTTATAACACCAAGGCGTGTGTGGAAATCGCCGCGTACTTAAATCGTTACGGTGTATGCTTGTTGTTGATCAGCTTTTAAAGGCCTTTGGAGATGTTAGGCGGAGGCTTTGGCGCTCAATTGAAAAGCTCTATCAACAAGCACCGCTCCTGTTTCTCGTGTCTGGCCACTTGTAGCCGTTGGTATCGACCGTACACACGTGTTGAGTCCATACATATATGAGCAATGAAAAGGGAGATTGATCACGTTCTAGAGGGCAAAGTGCGAATGGTGTACGTCAGCATATAGTTGCTACTACGACATTGCTGAAGAGAATCAATAGTGACGCAAGACACTGTGTGCAATTTTCGTGCAATGCAGACATGAGATCAAGAGCAGGGTAGGACAGCTCGTGAGCCAAACAGCTCTTACCTTCACGCCGACGCATTCTCGAATGACAGGAATCGCGTGGTACATTTGGATCTCGCAGGTAAGTAGAATGTGATGGCGTGCCGGAAGGACGGGTGGGAATATGACCGCTCCGTGTGCTCGTTAGCTTCCTGATAGCGTATAGTAGTAGGCGAGATGATAGGTACAATGCACCCTTTTGTTACTATTGATTGCTGACGAAAACTCGTGTCGACGGCTCCCATGTCTCAAAAGCGGCCCTCTGACGCTTCCCGAAATAAGGAAGTCGGGCTCGTAGGTCTCAGCTTAACGACCTCATGATTAATCCTTATCGGGCCTCCTGGAACCTGATGGCGTGTTGACACTTTTGAAGAACAGTGTGGCATTCTTGATGGCCCAAAACAAGTGCTGAAACGATGGAACTGACCTACTTTCCTCCATTGCTCTACCAGCAATACTACCCGTATGACTACACACAATGGCGATGGGCCGAGAAAGGATGTGGACTATCGCGGGGGTTTTCGAACCGTCATGCCACGAGTACGGACCCCTCGTGAAGAACAAAGCTGTTGAGCCAGGTTCCAATGTTTCCATTCTGCCGTTCTCCCCTGTACGTGGCATTGACAAGGCCAGGTTGGGAGCCGTACTTGGGATAGCTCCGTTCTGTGAACCAGACGTAGGAATAGGCAAACCCGCTACCTTTTCTCGAACATCCTCGGATGGTTGGTCTCGATGAAGAGGAGCAGAGCACGTTCCAGAGACAAGACTACTTTCTATGCCACATGACTCGCTCATAAGCATAGCAATAGTGACGTGTCGCAGTGAGTACATGTGTGGATCTGCTTTCGGCAAGTACGATATGGAAGCATGCGCAGCTGACGATCGGTGGACGTCATTATAAAGTCCACGGACTCCACTGATCTTGCGGATTGGGCTATGGATCGGCTCATCCTCAATACGTCCGACTTTATGGGCATCCACGATGGCTTCAAGTGCGACGTATCGCGGTTGGCAGTGCATTGTTCGAACAGATTCCAGTCCTATTTTTTAAAATCAAAAAAAAAAAATTTTGTTTTATTCAAAAAAAATATATTTATAATTTTCAACAAAATAATAAATTACATCTTCTCTAACAAAAAAAAAAAAAAAAAAAAAACCCCCTCTTTTATCAAAAAAAAAAAAAATGCTCCCCTCCCCCCCCCCCCCCCCATCCTTCTTGATCAGCAGCTCATTTTTTGCAATCACATCGCTTTTCTGCTAGCTCAGAAAAAACCTTCCAGACGCGAAAAGTACTCACTCGTGTTTCCATTCATCACGGACAAACGGAGACAGCAGAATTTTGCTTTTCTATGCTATGAAGGTAACATCTCACGTTTACGCTGGAAACTTCCATGGCGACAATCTCTTGTTACAGTATGATGTCGATTGTAGCTTCCCAGTATTGAGCATAAGTAAACCTCTCATTAAATCTGTAATTAATCTTTGGTTTGAGTCAAAGTACCTCCCTTTTGCACAGTGCCCCATGAACTCTGAGACTCAACTAAGGCTAAACAATAAATACGTGTCTATGTCACACACCTGATATATCTGCAACCCTTACGCCCGTAATTGACTTCCTCTCCTGCTAAGTTACAAGCTCTCCACTCGCAGTCCACGCGTGGTGCTGCTCACTCGCTACACACTTTTCTTGAAACAAAACGTCTCGATGTATGCGTAAAACTCATGTGTTGATTACGTACGCGTCAATCATAGCCTGTTTATTGGTTTTGTGGGGAACACAAAACCAATCTGAGAGGGAGTCGGACAGTAAGAGACTCATTCCCCAAAAACATTTCCGCTGATACCACTGCAGGAATCGATGGATGTTCGGTGCTGCACATGCTGCTGACATTCTGTTACGAGCTCAACCTCGCTTGCACTTTGTCAGTAGCGAAGACTGAATGTTCACTAAAACATACGGCAATCGTGTTCAACCGTGAGCTGCTGAACGATGTGGCTGAACGATGGTAAACCCGTTGCAGATTTTATGATACCCTCGACGCTCCGTTTCGAGTTCGACATGTGTGAGTTTCGAGAACCTCGACTAGTTGTCTATATAGATTAAAGTGTGCAGCGGAGTATCAGATGAAGCCTAGGTAGATACTTTGCAAACAAACGCTAGAAGTTTGACGACGTCGAGATCGTACGAATGACTTTGGATGCAATGAGATGTCATCATGTCCCAACAGATGCTGATACGTTTGGTTCGGCAACGGATTGTTGAGCACAAATGCTCACAGGAACCGCTGACAATTATGTGCCGCAGGCCAAGAATCTACGGTGATGTCGTGTCGGATTATAGTTTGTCTTGGCGGATCCAACCTCTCGCGCGCTACATCAGTAGCAAAGACCGTTCCTGAACCAAACTTAACGTCAAAGCGTGTGAGAGCGGGCTGCTAAAGATACGGCTGACCAGTAGTAATTTCATTGATGATGTTTACGACTTGCTAGAGGTCTTCGAACTTACGAAGAAGAATGTCGGGTTGGTAGAGAACCTGGGTACTTTGACTCAACGCGTTGCACAATTGAACGAAGAGTATCATACCAATGTAAATGCGCTCACTCTCTTTCGACAAAGGTTGGAGGCTGCATGAGTACATGGAGAACAAGTCCGCAGTCGTCAAAAGGTTAATGGACCATCCAGTCAGACGCTAGGTGAAGGGAGACAAAACGGCTTTCATATACTCGACAATTGATGGAACAAGGTCTGAAGCGTGTTCACGCGTAGGATACTCAGAACAGGCCTTCTATGGCATTCCAAGATCTCCTAATTTACCGAAAAGGACAGATAACGTCAAATCAAACAATTTCGATTGCAGGAATCTACCCTCGAGTCAACATTCTGCTTAACTTCGTCGGGGTCAGCACGGTGGATCCGAGGGAACTTCCCGGTGCTCTTCTTCACTCGTAATTCCTGTTTAGCACCTAATCCATCACAGGGTAAGTTTCTGGTACACTGATGCAGACGTGCTTTCCTGCAGCAGGAAACTGATTTGCGGTACAAGCTTTGTCAAGATAGAGGTCAGAGATGACTGCTCTTCAATAAAGAAACGACCCGTTGGGGGGAGGGTCACTGCTTGGGCTGTATTAAAATTGCCGCGATGGATTGCATATTGTCGTGAGAAGTGATGTCAGGCAAAATAGAAAAGACTTTAGCAAGGCGTGCACCTAGTGGGTGGTGTCCTATTCGCCATAGTGCTCATCTATGAAGCGTACAACAAAGATAAGGCTAAACTTTCCTTTTCACGACAAAGTTCTACACTCCACCCTGGCTTCGAATCTGTCCCTGGTGTGTTGGTTGCCCGAGACAACAACAAAGCGTAAGGAGCTCGCACCAGCTGATGTGATGAATCAGCCGCCAAACGAAATCGAAGAAAACTCAGGGTTCGAACTAAGGGACACACTTCAAGAAAACCTCGCTGCAATGAGTACAAACACCAAGCAGCTAGCGAGTAAACGTCTACAAATCGTACATCATTCCTAGTGAGCGCGCGAGGCGCTCTGATGTAATAGCTTGCATTGTTTTTAAGCTTCTGTATCGAATACGTAGGCGCGTCATTTCCTATATTTTTGTCTATACGTGCATGTTTTGTTCTCACGAAAAAAACGCTTCCAGGAAAACTCAAAGAGTGGAAACATCCTGTGATCAAGTGACAGCAACAACTTATCGATAGTCGTGCGGTGGCTTCCTATAAAATCAGAACGATTGATCTTTCAGCGAGACCCGTTGGATTCGTTTCCTTAGCTGCAAGTCGTGCCAAGGAGGCAGCACCGGAAAGAACTACTATCGACAGCGTGTATTCCATCCAGGTCACGCGTTGCCTCCACAAATTTGCAAAATACAGGGGAATGCCAAGCTGAAGATTCTATGTAAGGTGTGAATGATGGATAGCTAGGCATCATGATCACCCAGTTCGACCTCAGCCACATTTCGGTCAGGTTTCATGACCATCCGACGAATTTATACAGCCTTTGCGACTCTCCAGTGCAGTCAATATCTCAGGCAACAACTGCAACGTAATATTGAGCATGAACGCAAATGGCATTGTTAGCTCGACAAGAGCAAAGATTTGAGTCGTCCGCGCGCTGTAATTCTCTGGGAGAACATCGTTTCTGCTGTTGACTTGGTCGAACTACTTGGCATGTACATTACATTACACAAGAAAAAAGCACGGGAAACGCACGAGTAAGCTTTTCTTGGATAGACGCTTTCTACGTATCGCAATACCACTCGCTATTGTTTGATGTGCCACGAGAATTACTTATTAGTTCTACCATTTTACTGCCTTTTCACGTTAGTGTTATTCCACGACCGGACAACAAGGTAACAAGACAACCACAATCGCTCCATTTTAATTATTTAGAACAGGTAGGTCGTCCACCATACTGCTGATGAGCCTCCTTACATCGGATGAATCCAAACAGGCAAGGTTACAGTGGGAGCAGGGAGCGCCAGCGCAATACTGACAAAGACGATGATAACGGCAGGTCCACTCGAGGCCCTCCGCCATCGTTTGGCGCTGAAGCCTTTCAGCCCTTCTTTATATTGTGCAACATCTGATCAGCGATGACTTGAGAAGGTATTAGGTTCACCAGCACGTTCATTCGGAATTACAGCTTCACGTTTACTTCGTTTCTACTGCGGCCTCGTAAACGACTTCGTAAGTTCCTTTGTCATGTGTACGATTCTGTACACTTACGAAAGCATTCCTTCGACTCAGTGAAGATTCCTCACAGTGGCTCGAAAGAGACACCGACTGCACGGACTGTGACATTCCGCTGCACTGAGAGCTATTTAAAATTTAACGATCAATTTCACCAAATACAATATCTAAAGTACCTATAATTGTAACGAGGTATTTTGGAAGTTGATGTGCGAAAGTGGACCATGACGCTTGCGTCGCTTACTTCAGTTGCCAATCCAATCAAAGTGAGAAAGTGGCCAGCGACAATCAAGTACAGCTACCAGGTACAAAGTGATGGGGTCAACTAAAGTCGCGATTGCACTGACCTAGCGACTACAGTAGCCATATCTATCAGCAGTCGCGTGCAAGATCAAGATTTTGACCTCCCCTGCAGCGAGCAATCGTGTCGCAGGCTGATGGACCAACGACTTTTTGTAGCAGTATAGTAGTAGATTCGACTAGCTGACCATGGTTTCCAAAGCTAGGTACGTGATGTATGCATGGACTGCGGTGTAGTGCTTGCGAGCCTTAGCGCTTCATGTGAACTGCTCAACATTGTGCTTCCCTTTTCTGCTACGAACAACTTATGTCGCTACCTGTTGATTTTCTATGAAGCAGTTGCCGAACGTCACGGTCTTGCCGTCCTCTTCTACGAAGTACGCGTTAGCGGGTAGCCTTCGAAATCTGCATTACTTCGAGTTGCTATTTAGTTGCTATCATGACCGGCCATGCAGTCGCCCATTTCCGGCTATCCCGCCTCGATCACATAAGACGGAAGACCTCGGCACACCTCAAGATATTTCATCTGAGTCACCAGGTCAACATCGTCAACCCAGTCCAATTCGTGCTGAAGATGTGGACGCTATCACTCCAACCCGCATACAAGCTCGTGGATTTGTACCCGTTCAGCGTGGCTTTCCGCCTTCGTTCCGTCGAACTCTGCCTATTCCTGCTGTCAGACCTGCATAACTTTTTCCATCGCCACCCCCACATGCCTCAGCGTTGCAACCGGCCGGAGCAGACCTTGCTGGTAGCTGGTAGGATTTTCATTCATCGTCGCTCATCTGGACATTACTGAGTCTATGTGGCAGCGGAGTCTCTTACCTGCAAAACCTAAACATCACTGGTCTCCGTCCCGTGGCGCGTACGATACACCTGTAGCACGACATACGCATCACTACAAACGCACAGTGCAGCAACCACCAACCGCTTTCAAGCCACAAACGAATACATCCCATTGCCAACCACCTCGCCTGGTCCTTTCGCACTCTATTCTTGCGTCCAGGCAAGCACACTTCCTCCTCTTATTACGTCCCACCTAGCTAAACTAGTCGCAGCAAATAGACAGAAAAGATACAGAGCTCAATCGCAAACTCCGCTCCCTCCTTCTTCTTCTTCATCTTCTTCCTCCTGCCATCTCTCCTCCCTCTTCTCTCCATCCTGTCAAGAAGAGCTCCAGCTCTGGTTCAATCCAGCACACCACAGCGACGCTGCAACTCATCCACCTCATGCTTAAATGTCGTCAAAGTCAAAGCCAATGTCGTCCTCGCCGTCGCCTTCCATGGCCATGTCCACAGCCGTCTCGTTGATACGCGCATTGTCCGGCAGCTCCCCGTACGCCTTGAGACTACGGGCCTCATCCGCATTGTATTTATGAATAATATCCACCTTGCCGTCCTGGTACTCGCGCAGACTCACGAGGATAATGTCTCCTGCGCCCACCCACACTTTCTTGCGCATCTTGCCGCGAATGTGGCCCAGACGCGTCACGCCGTCAAAGCAATACGCCTCCAAGCGGCCATTGCCCAGCATCCGCACGACCTGAGCGTACTCTAGAAGCAACAAACACCGTGTATACACCAACTATTAGACTGGGTCTACAAAGGAGTAAAAACGACACTGCATGTATACAAAGCGCAACAGCGAGCGCACCTTGTCCCTCCTCTTTGAAATCGAGTTCGCGCTTGTTCTCGTCATTGTCGTTCTTCCCGCGTCGGCGGTTTTTGCCTCCCTTTCCCTTGTTCTTCGGCATCGCTCGTCCCTGTTGCTGGCAAATCCCCGACTGCTTGTGTCTCGGGTGGCGTACAGCGCAGAATACTTTCAGCCAATCACAGCTGCAAGAGACATAGACGACGGCGTTCACCCGTCGTATCGCCCGAATCAAGCAGATGATCGGAAACCCTCTACAATCTGTTTCGCTCGCGATCCTGCTGCGTGCATTGTTTTCATATTTTTTGAAAAGTTCACTCTGCAAGAGCACAAACAAATTGACACACAGACATGCTCTCTAGCTGTGAGGGTACCCCAACATACCCCACACAGAGGAAGTGCAACGTGACCATCACTCTGCCAATGCGCACTGCTCGCACTTCCCCCGCGCTCCGAGACGCTCTTCTTCCCCCTTACGCCTCGCGCCGTGGCCTCTCGCTTCGACCGTCCTCTTTGCGCCAATGACGTCCTCGACGCCGCCTCTCTCTCTCTTATGGCAGCGTCGAAAGACCCCGTCGTGCTCGACGTCCAGGCCGCCCAATCACCCCAACCCCCGCCGCTTTATGGACGGCAACCCGTGCCCCAGCCCCTTTTCTACCACCACCAGCACCACCAGTAGTAACCCTAACAGTACCCCCTCTCTTGACCCAAGGTCCGTCTCTACTCTAGGTCTGACCATGCGGACGGCTCGCAAGCGCTTGCTCCAGACCATCTCACGCAAGATCCAAGAGAAAGAGGACTCGTGTAACCCCACGACGGAGTTCCGGGACCCATTCTTGCTGCTTCTGGCGCTATGTGCGTCCTTCCGAGTTGCGGACGCCATCCGACGCGTTGCGGGAGAGGAGGACGGAGACGCTCGAGGCTTGACGGCCGTGGCTGAAGCCGCGTTCCTCGTAGCTGCTGCTGGAGGCAACGTCCTTTTGAACCTGATGCAGACGCGTCGTCACCACGCCGAGATGGCCGAACGCGTCCGAGTGGCAGTGCAGCAGATGGTCCGAGGTCGGGACCAGGGGAAGGAGCCAGTGGAGCAAACACATGGTGAGTCGCGGGCCTCTTGGCTCGAGACTGAACCTGAGCCGACGGTTCTCTTGCCGTCTCATAGCTACATTGCTGTCTATCGAGACAATCAGTGGCAGCGGCTGCCGATGAATTTGCTGGTCGAGGGAGACGTTGTGGGGTTAATGAGTGGAGATATTGTACCGGGGGAAGTTCGGTCCGTGGAATTAAGTGCAAATGAAGAGCAGCAAGTGTACCCGAGAGGGTGTAAACTACCGCCGTGGACCCGGAGACATGCTAAAGACGCGACAAGGTGCACGGCTACGTTTGATCCGCCATTGCTGCTCGAGCTGTGCGGTGAGATGCGGATTTTTGAAATGAGGGAGACGCCTGTTGTGCGAGACATTGACGATGCTCTGTTTCGGATCAGCAGGCCCGTGACGCCGACTCAAAAGCTACAGGCACATGCAAGACTTGTGGCCGTACGTATTTGCATGTGGTACTCCGTGTTGCTGCTTGTTGCAATTGGACTGCGTGCAGTCATGCAGCATCGGTCTCTCGAAACCGCTCTCACGCACATTCTCCAGGGGCCGATGGGTATCTGGCTCTGTTTTGCTTCACTCAACACACCGCTGGTTCTGTTTGTTGCTGAAGCGGCTGCCACAGCTTCCATTTTGGGCTCATTCGATGACATCTTGGTTCCAAAAGAATCTACGAAACAAAAAGTGTCAACGAAAGATAGAGACAGTACTGTTGACGGTTTTGCTGAGAAGCAGGGCCGTGTACACGCAACGACACCAGACGTGAACAACGAAACTTCGAAGGCAGCCAAGAACAAGGGAAGATCTAGCGCGTATACTTCGCGCGTTGACAGTGCGACGGCATCGATTTTGAAAGCGACAGCACTAGTACAACCTGATATCTACGATGTCGATGACCGGGAAAAACTGCGTTCAGCAAAGGCTGAAAAGCAATCTGCCGTGACACGATCGCTTCAATACTTTCTAGTCGTACTTCGATTTCGTGTAATGCGATGCGACCTCGCTCATGTGTCCGATCGGCGACACCTACCGGTGCCTTTTCGTTCTTTCCGGTTACTTGAACGGTTGGGAAACATCACGATGTTGTGCTGCTTTGACGACGATATTCTATGCGAGCAAACACCATCAGTGGAAGAAATTTTTCTGCTCAACGACAAACAGAACAACAATTCAATAGTTTTGGATCTGCATGCTGAGCGCCATTGTGATACAGGACTAAAATTTGAGGACCCAAGATGGAAGCAGCACTTACCGTCGCTTAAGCCCATTGGATTAGCAATCATGGTGAATGATGATGAACACCCAGCCCGACACTACGACGAAAACATGCGTTATCTCGCAAATGAGGGGCTATGTCCGGTTGATGATGATGACGACTCACGGAATCCGTCTTTGCAAAGCTGTATGCAACGTCTTTCGGCTCATATTCGGATGCTGCCATTTCCAAAGCATTTGCTGAACCTCTCCCGTGAAATGGGCTTTTGTGTCGCTGAGGATTTGACGATGTTTCGAAGACGCCAATCCATTCATATCATCTGCCCTCGCCTCGCGCATCATGAACACACGAACGACCACCACGACCAGGGCCAGGAAGATACGCGATATCGGGGCAATCTGAAGTCGCATCTCTATTCCACAGTCATTCTCGACAGGCGTTCACAACGCCATCAACTACTATCACGTGGTCATCCAACTGTTGTGCTTGCTCATTGCAGTGAATACTGGGACGGTAAGTCTATTTGTCCACTGACAAGCGAGAAACAACGTGCCATTCTTGATATGTATAATCAGTGGCGCGTCGAAGACCTGGATTGTGTCGCTTTCTCGTATGTTCCCGTCCCACACAAGCTCAATAATCTCTTTGACCGAGCTGGGTCCAGCAGCAACGCATCTAGCGAATGCTCGACTCCCAGTCCACCGAATAGATTGGAGGGTAAATTGCCACCCGTGTATCTTGTAGACGACAGTACGACAAGCGGGTTAATCTCTCCGCACTCACCCGCGCGACGAGGCAGTTTATCTTTTTCCAGTAACATGGGTGAAGATCGAGGGTGTGGACACGAATGCAGACGCCAGAGGCATTCTATTAATCCAGTGTCACCACTAGCTTCGCCGAACTCGACTGACGACACGCCCCAGATTATCCAGGAGCCGGTGCCCAGTAAGCGAACAGCTAAGCCAATGGAAGCTCCGTCAGGTGGGCAAGTAACACCTGTCAGACGACGGGTTTTGACGTTCAGTGACTTTGAGTCGTCGGCGGGACCACAGCCATCCGAAACGAGCTCTGTAGAGAAAGAGTCCATGCTCTGGCGCATTCAAGATAATCAGATCTTCTTGGGCATGGTTGCAACAGGAGTCCAACCAAAACAACATACTCCTGACTTCATTGAAGACTTGAATGCGTGCGGTATTCGCTTTGTGTACTTCTCTCCCCGCAACATGCGTAGAAGCAAACTGCTTGCCGAGAAGATGGGCATCGAGACAGACTGGAATTGTGCCATTTCGCTGCGCTCTCTTGACAGTGACGACCCCGATCCTCACCGCATGACTTCAAATTACTCAGACTGGGACGTGAAAGCTCGCTTGCCGCACGGCGTTGAAGCTATTAAACGGCACATTGCTGAAGTGGATAACGTGCCGTTGCTGGTATCGCTTTATACGGACAGCACACCAGAAACGATCAGCGAAATGATTTCCGTTTTCCAAGAAAATCAGGAAGTGGTAATGGGTGTTGGCTCGTCCCTAAAGGAGAGCAATGCACCACTATTTTCGAAAGCAGATTTGGCGGTGGCATTTCAGGGCGGAGTACAAGCATTCTTCGATAAGCCAATTCCATGTGGAAAAGAGCTTTCCGTACTTTCCAATGAGGACATTCAGTTCAGCCACATTCTCAACTCACTGGCGTGCGCCTTCCGGTTGACAAGTACCCCAGATGACGCAGAAAATCACGACGAGAGAAGTGCAAATGTTATCGACAGCATGGATAATGCCACTAGAGGTGGAACAGCCAGTGTGGCACATTTGATCGAACTCATCCGACTTGGCCGACGCATGCTTACGAATTATTACCAGATGAACACATTTATCTTCGTATCGCAGCTTTTCATCGCCACGATCATCCTCGCCTCCTATGCTTTACCCTTCCCGTACATACCGCAGCTGAGCTGCTCCTCAATTTTTTGGCTGCTATGGATTTTGGTGCCAGTGCTCAGTCTCTCAATGCTTGCATCAGCATGTGAGAAAGACGTCATGAAAAAGACACCGCGCAAGAATGAAGAGATTGATATGGAAGAAGATCTGTCACGACTGATTGCTTACTTCTTCGTACGTCATGTGCCGTCCGTATTGCTATCGATTGCTGTGTTTGAGTGCTTGCTCGGCTTCTCCCTTCAGGCATCGCACATTTCCAATCCGGACGCTTTTGGGGTCAAAAAGTTTCCGGACTTTGATTGGACTGATTTCCTGTGTGACTACGGACTAATGACGATGAGACCACGGCCAGCTGCTGTTGCTGCTGCAATGGATCGCGCGGAGGCCGGTATGCTGCTGTCGATTGGTGTCTGTATTGTTGCTTCATCGTGCGAATATTTGTATCGATATGAGAGTGTGTGGAAGGTGTCTCCGTTTCGAAACGTCGTATGGGTGGCCGTATCGTCGGTACTGTTGTGCTTGCACATTTTGCTTAGTTTTCTCCGCGCGGGACTTGTTGGCGCCGATGGAATCACGCTATGGCAATTTGTGAGCCAGTCAGTCCCTCGGATGTTCTGGGTTCTAACGCTAGGCGTGTGGCCTCTCTTTAACATTTGCGTTGACGAAGCGGTCAAGATGCATGACAAACGACACCTCGTGCGCTACAACAAGTTTCTCCGGATGCAGTTTGACACGCGGCTTGGAATGTGGAGCCCCAAATAACCTGATTGCAGTGCAAGATAGTGATTCCGATCTTTCAATGACAAGAACAGTCGACGTCCGTCATCGAGTACACTCTTCTATACTCGCATCGTGCTCTGCTAAGACTGCCAGCTTCGTGTTTTCTGTGCTCGTTCGGGCACACATACAAGACTCCACTTTCCTGGGCCATGCTCGGACGTGACGACTTCACACGCAGCATGGATTCTCTGCATATATGCTACTGACCGATTCTACACCGCGCGAATATTGATATCGCGCTCAGCGACGGTAACCTACCGGTGTACTGAGATGGAACAGGAATACGATGAGAAACGTGAGACAAAATACCTACCATAGTTCCAGATTAGCGCAATGCCAATGTTGGGTCGGCGTGAGTTGACAGGAGTGTCCTCGCGACAATCTTTACTCTCTCGTACGCTTGTACGAGCATGTTGCTGGTGTGCATCATTTATCGAAAGCCGAGTGCAACAACATCGCCGTGTTCACCTCAGTCTCTCCACCTGCATCAAAATTTCTATCAACCATGCACATCAAACCATAAGAGTTGCCTTTTTTAGTGGCAATGATAACGATGCTTAGTAGGCGAGTGCGTTGAAAGAAGGAAGTATATTCGAAGTGGTCGATATTGAGTTCAATGTGATAGATCTTATGTAAAGCAGTTTGCTTCTACAGATAAAGACTCGTTCACTTCGGTAAGATGTAGGCTAACGCTTCCGTTATAGCATCCTCTAGCTTGGCCAGACATACGCACCACTATTCCTCAGATAGGCAACTTGTTTCAGTCAGTACCACAGCAAGCACAAACTTCGATGCTCCTGTCTGCACCAATTGAACCAAATGAATACCAGAATGGCTGCAATGTACGCTGCAGAAGACTGTTGCGCTTACCATTACACAAAAGTAGGCGCGCTGATAATGAGATGTCACAACCGTCGATACAATGTCTAGCGAATACTTGCCGCTCCTTTCAAATCGATCACTCAGTTTGCGCTACTTTGATCATCCCTCCTCACCCTCACATTATTTTGATTCACACAGTCGGTAAACATTGTGCGCCGCCGTAGACTTGAGGCCGTAGTAGGTCCACTCGCTGGATAGTCACCACTAGTCAATACATCGTCATCATCTCGGCAAAATTGCTCGTGTGCATCATAATACCGATTTGCTAGCAGCAGGCTTGACTGTCCAGCGCGTATCACTAGACGCGCGCCAGGCGTTTCGCAGATTCAACACTTGCATAACATTCGACAAGGTGAGCAATCGAGCGCTTCGTTCGCTCTTGATGCTCCGTCAGCGCCGCAAATGCGCGTCTCACCAGCTAAACTCATGTTTTCGTAGCCACAGATCACGATGTTGGCGCGTAGTAGACACGTCGTGTCGCTTCTCGCGAACTCGATATATCGGTATGCGAACTACTTGGTCACGTCCATCAACTGCTCCACGAAGCAGATCGTACCTCATGAATACTGTACCATGTGTGCGAGCGAACTGGCCTATAACAAAAGAGCAGGACGTCATGAAGGGCACCAGCTCGTCCGTGTTCATGTTGATCCATGGCATGCTCTGAAGCGCCACTTTAACATTTGAGAGCCGTGATGAGCTTCTTGTTGACCACCAATTGACGCTTTTAGCTGCTGCATCTTCAGACTGACTTCTGGGCAGATTTATTTGCTCAAGCGCAGCTCCATCAGCTCTGCTTTATCGGTGGCGGCACTCACATCGTCAGTGGTCAAACTTACCCACGCCTCATTTGCGTCGTCTAGTAATTCTATCAAGGTTCGACACTAGACGTGTGGGCTGCACTGTTTTGGCGATTTGCAACGTAAATGAAGAGATTGCAATCCGAACACGCATCGGGCGTAATGGCCACCACAGCAGTACGACCTTAGTACCCGGTATCATCAAATAGTTTGGCTTGATCGCAGAGTTTTCGTGTTTGAGTGAGAGCGATCAGCGTGTGAAACTGTTCATCCTATTGTCGCTCGACAAGTCGCCACCTCATGCTTTCTCACTGACATGCTCAGACGTTATGCAATTTTCAAGGCCTGCAGCAATGGCTCAGGCGTGAGAATTGTCCTGATACTAGCCCTACCTGCTTTGACACGCTCCGTCTTTAATGACACAATGTCTGCGATGGTGTCGGCGATGCGATGAACGTGCTGACACTCCGTTGCTACATAGCGCAGGCTCTACACAGCACGTGTTGGACGGTCAAATGAATTGGGTGCAAGCTCTACAATGCACTAAACGCGCTGAGACGTACGTTGTTTGTATGTCATCCAATTTCATCTGGAGAAGATAGTCTGTCACGCTACTTTTCTGTGAAGCAGTAGAGAGTACCTCCTTTAGCGCGCAGTTGCAGCAGTTGCCTGCACATAGGCTTAGTAACGTCCCGACCAAAGCTGACTATTTACTCAATCTGGTCTTACGCGACGATTGCTGCAATTTCGACAATACACTTCAACTCAGACAGACCGGTTTGCCCCAAGAAGCCTGCACTGAATCTGCACAGTTCAACAAATTTTTCCGAGCCGACTGTCTTGATATATTGCTTTCTATTTTACGTGCATCTCAGTGCGCATCACGACTGATAACCTACCACGCTTGTCTTGCTAACTTTAAGCATCCCATGATCTACGAATTGTCATCCAGTGGCTTAAACTAGTGGAAATACTCAGACACATAGCCGCCCTGATGATCCGTGAGAAATTGTTTCGGCTCGATTTTACTTGCGCGAATTGCGGCTTTTTATCAAACGCTAATACGTCTCTCGAGTTGACACGCCTACACATCTTCGTAAGCAGTTTTTAGAGCAACGTTCACATCTTTAGCATTCGATGTTATCAGCTGAAGTATGAAGAGTCATGGTCTCGCTTTTTCTAGAACAGTTCTGTGAGTTTAATCGGATAGTACGCAGAAAGTACGGGATTAGATCGATGCCTTATGAATCCAGAAGATGACCGGTACTTGAGTGGTCCATAAGTTGCTATTCCAGGTCTCACTCATCCCCCAAAGTGTGCGGCATCAATCGAACTCCATCATGCGCTTTGGCTGCCAGTCGTTTACGTCCTACACCATTGTTCTGTGGAGGGTTACGAACCCATCACCGACTGTCAGTAACCATACAGATGGTGCTGCTTTGAACTTGGTCATTGCTCTCCTCCTTCGAGAGACGTCCGCGCCCGTTGCATCGATGCCCTTGAAGCTACGACTCTGCATTAAACAACGACGTTCATAAATTTGAAAGCGACGTGGAGAGAGGTTGTACGAATCCAGTGTCATTCTTCGTCTATGCAATCGATGCATGGCGTTCAGCAGCAAATTGAACCAGCGAAGGTTTTACAGTGCCTTAATGTTCAATCGATGATAAACAAGTTCTTCTTCCATCAGAACTCGAGCAATGGATCAAGTATATTGACGCGAACCGGTAACAGGGTGGCACCTATCATGGTGATTAGGCAGTTGAGCACCTGTTGGCGATTGTTGATGAAAAAAATCCGGCGAAGTTTCTTATTTGGCTTGAGGCATCCGTAAAATGAAGGATCGTGCCGACAATTTACAAACATCGCTAGGAATGATGCACTCCGGAACCGTAAAGTCTATTTCTAACTTGCGGTTACAGGATGGAATAAAACCCGGGGACGCTTACGGAATGATGCCTATATCTGTGAGTACAACACTTTCCTGTAACGCTGAAGAGGAAAGAAAAGACCCACCAACGTGAATGAGCTTGTGCTGTGGCGTGACTATATTGACCGATCCAAAGTGAAGAACGTGGTCTATGGCAACGACGATGTAGTCCAGCAGCTGACAAGTGTCAGAGATAGGAAAGAGGTAGTAGTGCTTTTTTTGCTCTGAGACACCGCTAAATGGGAGCATCGTGCCGGCAGTCTGCTAAGATCGCTAACAGTGATACAGTCCGAATCCGTGAGCCAGCGATATCCAAGTGTCGGGGCAGGAATCTTGAAGAAGTCTTTGATATGCTGCCTTTTGTGGAGGAGAGATTCCTTACACAAGGCGTCGGGGATAGCTTGAGTTGGCCTGACATTCATCTCAAGCTCGTTCCTAAGCCTGCGTATATCAGCGATTATAACGTGAACGAATTGACCAAAGATACGACTGGAAAGACTATACTTCTCCGACCTGGCCTGGATCTTGCTTTTTCCTGAACAGTCTATACTGAAACCTCTCGTGTCACACAGTACAGTGGAGGACTTGGTGGCATTTCTCAAAGCCATGCAGAAACAGCCAGATGCAGAGTCTCTTGCTACGACGATGAAAAAACCACTGTTCGTCAATAAGCGACCAGTCGATACACCATGGGCCGTTTGGGCTGGTGTATTTACCCGCTTTTGAGCAATCGATGTTTAAGTCGTGGGTGGATGCTTGTAACGGGGTAGCCCGTTACATGAAATTGACACTAAACGGTGTCGATAGGAATAATGTCGAGCTTAACAATATCCTACCAATATTATTCGAGATGGATAACATTGAAGGAATATCATCCCTTTTGTGGATAAAATTCATGCGCTGCTCAAAAAACTGGTTGATGAAAGACATATCAGCCATAGATTACCACCAATCGCTGCTAGACGCGCGCAATGAGTGGTGAGCAGGTTGTCGTCATACAACAACGTAGTTTAATATAGTTGGATAGAGATTAAAGTTATATTGATAGCTTAATTATATTAGATACAGTTCTCTTATTACCCTTCACTCATCCTAGTCGTTGAGAAGATTAGCTTCATCTGTACGTACTAGTGTACGTGAAGTTTCGTGGCACCCACACAAAGGATGCCCCGTTACACCTGGTAGCACTTTGTAGTCCGTCCAACGACTACTTTGTGTCCGTCTAACATAAAAATATTGGACGTAGAAGACGATAGCTTTCACGTCACACGTGAAGGCTACTCCCCTCTAAGTGACTCAGAATGGGAGGTAGTCGGCCGCATGAGTGTGCTCATGGGCGAACCCGCCATCATTGGTATGTTGGAGTCTCTAAGCAGAGACCAGCAACATGCTGCTATCAACAAGTTCCTACAAGGGGAACTTGTCGTCGAGCGACAGAAGATAGCCTTGCTACAGCAGCAAGGCTCTCATCAGTCGATGAGCGGGCCGACGCACATGCGTCGACCCGAAACCTTGAAGATAGTTATCTCAAGGTACAAGGGAGCCGATGAAGATTCCCTTTTGAGATGGTTCGTCGAATCAAACGACGCCATCAGGGCCCGTCACATCGAGGGTGACGAGATGCAAGTTACCTTCACCCTGTCAAATTTGACGGGATGAGCAAAGACTTGGGACTCAGGGCTCGAGCTTCACGACCCAAATGTGTTTCAGTCGCTGGAGATCTTGAAGTCTCGGCTCAAAGAGATGTTTGAGACGCCTAGAAACGAGTTCAGAGCACTCTCTGCACTATTGAGGCTAAAGCAAGGTGAGCGTGACGTGCACGCTTACGCACAGCACCTGCGCTACCTTGCGAGTAGCGTTACGAAGAACCCTGTTGATGAGCACGCGCTCATCAACTTTTTCATCTATGGCCCTGTAGTTGGGCCGGTGAAGACCTACATGTTACAAGAGGAATTCCATACGCTGGAAAAGGCGATAGCGCATGCGGAACAAGAAGACTTCAGCCTGAGACTGTCTCAGGCTAACTCGTCAAACTATCGTCCGACGAGACGACAGAAAAACGGAGGGGACCGAACCATGGGTCCTCTGTCACATCGAGAGCGAGAACTCTCGCTTTCTGAGTCACAAGCGAACGGAAAGATGCTATCGCTGTCATAAGATTGGACACTACGCTCATGAGTGTAGTGTCCCGAGCACTGCGACACGTCCGAAAACAGAACGTGATGACCGCCGTTGGCCAAGGAAAGGTCCAAGGCGTGGTTCCGAACATGTCGCTAAGCCGCGACGGCAAGTCGGACCGTCAAAAAAATGGACAGGGTCAGTAGGGGTGGAGCACTCTGCTGATCCAGCAACTTCAAGAGAATTTGCAGGACTCTTGATGAAGATTGCTCCCAACACACAACCGCCGTGTGTTACTGCCCTTAGTGATGAGGAGTCTCTCATCATTTTGAAGATCGAAGTGACAAGTGGAATGTCACTTCGCGCCTTAGTTGACTGTGGGCGTCGAACAGTTTTATTCGACGTCAGTTGCTAAGGGATAGTAGTCTCAACTATGTTGAGCGAGAGTTCCCTCCTACGAGGATGACAGTGTGCCTTGCTACAGGCGCATCCTTAAGAGTGAACAATCGTGCAGTGGGAATCCACTACACGCTAGAAGGAAAGCAGTACAACAATGGCTTCATCGTACTGGATTTAAATGACAAATTTGATGCCATCCTCGGTCTGCCATGGCTTAGAAAGTACCAGCCATGGGTTAGCTGGCAGCATCGGTCCGTGAAGATGACTGCCGTTTGTTCATTAGATGGCCATCTGATTAACGTCTTAAGGCGTCCACAAGCGTGTGAATGTACTGCGAGTGAGTGCGACGGCCTCACTTGTGGTACGCTCGTTAGTACGACTGCACAAGATCAAATTGTAAAAAGCCACTGCACTGTGGAAGCAGCTTCCGGTACCTGTGTAGAGACACAGGCTTCGCCAAAGGTCTACAACTCGAAGAGATCGAGTGGACTGGAACACGGATGCACACCAAGAAGGGTCATCCAAGAAGAGAGATTAGTGTTGTTCAGGATGGACAACACGTTGAAGCAAGATCGAAAATCAGAGAGTCGATCGTAGAGCAAGCCCGCTCGACTGAAAAAGAGTTGATCGAAGAGGACGCGACCGGGATAGTACACGAATCGAAAGAAAATTCCGGCGTTCCTGAGAGCAATAACTCCCGAAAGAGTTATGTTGAGGGTGTGGATCCCCAACCACCTGCGGATGTGTTTTCCCAGGAAATCACCGAATCAGTGAATGTCTTGGTGAATGACGGATCAAGTGTAGGCGCTTATACACTTGATCTGGTTACGCCCCCGAAGTCATCTTCGGAGGTAGTCAAGCTGCCAACGTTAGAATCTAAAAGATTCTTGCGAGATCTGCGTGGTGACAAGATCAAGCAGATCTGCGTACTAGTCACAGAGGATGAGTACGTCGACAACATTCGGTCGGCACAAGTGTTCTGAGAACGAATGGGTTCTCAGTAGCTGATCTATGGACAAGAGTGTCCTCAATGAGAAGACCCGGATTGAGCGATACACGTCTCAATCTTGGGAGTCTTTAAAGACAAATCCTTTGTACAAGAATTTGGTGGAATTCAGGGATGTTTTCCCGGAATACGTGCCATGCGAGTTTCCAAAGGATAAAGTCCTCCACATGAGATCGAACTGAAACCCGGTTCGAAGTACTGTGTCATGAAGCAGTGGCCACTGCCTCGTGAACAGGTCACAGCGATCGACAAATTCTTTTTCGATCGCTTAGCGGCTGGTCATGTGAGGAAGTAAACATCCTCACACAGCTCTACGACCTTCTGTGTGCGAAAGGCCACAGGAGGGTGGCGAATAGTGCATGCATTTAACAAGTTGAATGCTGCAACGGTACCGGCTCAGACGCCGATACCCAGGAAGGACGTCATCATAGATGGTATGTCAAAGAGTGCCATCTTTCCGTCCATGGATTTGATGGATGGCTTCTATCAAATCCTTATGCGTGGACGGGATATCCCTTACACAGCAGTGAGCACCCCCAGTGAAATGCTCTGGGAGTAGCTAGTAATGCCACAGGGACTAAGTAACGCCCCCGCCACGTTTAACAGATGTGTTACGAATCTGTTGCGATCGGTGCGCGATTTCACACCGAGTTACTTCGACGATGTCTTCGTCCATAGTCGGGCTATGGATGGAAAGATGGACGTGGAGGTTCATAGAATCCACGTTCGAAAGATGCTTACGCGAATGCGAGAGCATAAGTTGTTCGCGAACCTTAAGAAGTGTACATTCGCAGCGAACGAAATACTACTTCTTGGCTGCATAGTGGATAGACACGGCGTATGTACTGATCCAGAAAAGATTAAGACGATAGCGACTGGCCTGTGCCAGCCGACGTCAAGGGACTTCAAAATTTTCTTGGCTTGACGGCGTACTTGCACGAGTACTCGCGCAACTACGCTGGGGTGGTTGTTCATCTCTCTTTACTTTTCAAAAAGAGCGAAAAGTGGATTGTTAATGCTGATCGTCAGCGTTACCTTGAGGGTATCAAGAAAAGCTTGATACAATCGCCTGAGTTGACGGTTGCAGACCAGGACAGACCATTCCATGTGGTCTGTGACGGCAGCGAATTTGCAATCGGCTTCGCGTTAATGCAGTACGACTCAGACGGCGCAGAGCGCTTCATCTGTTATCAATCGCGTCAGCTGCAAGCAGCTAAGCGTGATTACCCGGGTGTATATTAAGGAACTCCTTGCCATATGATATGCACTGGCCAAGTTTCGGGTATGTCGCTTAGGAGATAGACCCTTCATCGTTTATACCGACCATGCTTCGTTACGCACGGCCGTAAACACCCACACCTATTGCAACGAATGGCGAGGTGGCTGTCTTTCTTCGCAGAGTACAACTTCTCCGTCGAGTTTAAACCAGGACGACTTAATATCGTCGCTGATGCTATTTCGCGTCGGCCCGATTTCGAGCCGACTGCTAAACACAACATTAGGGGTGATCCTATTGTCGCGACACCAACAGTGAGTATTCCGTCGTCGAATCCGCTCGACGACGTGCGGAAAGCATACGGAAAAGATGAGTCTCTTCCGCGATTGATGAATTACGTATCCAATTTAAGTATTCAAGCTTTGAAAAGCTGGACGTCTCAATACCGCTCTTCAACCGAACGGTATTCTGTCCGTGATGGACTGCTGCACTATGTAGCAGTCAACGGCGACGAACCCCGTGTCATCGTTCCCGCTCATGATGATTTGCGATTACGCATCATTTATGAGTGTCACGATTCCCCAACAAGTGGGAATCGCGGTTGGGAAAAGACTTACCTCACGGTGAGTCGTGACTTCTACTGGTCCCGCCAGTATGAGTTTGTGCACAAATACATTCGCGCTTGCGAAGTTTGCTAACGGATGAAGCCTAGTTCTTCATCCCGCGCACCCTTGCAGCCTCTACCGATTCCGGCAGAGTGTTGGCAGTCCGTATCGATGGACTTCGTCTTCGGGTTCCCAAAGACGCTCACAAGAATACTGATATTCTTGTGTTTGTTGATCGATTCAGCAAGATGGTACATCTTGTCGCTGTACCGAAGTCAATAACAGCCTAGGGCTGTGCTCTTGTCTTCATCGATACTATCTTCCGACTTCACGGGTTACCCCGTGAACTCGTGTCCGATAGGGACCCCCGCTTAACAGCAGGGTTCTGGCAATCCGTGTTCCGTTCACTTGGAACAACTTCGAAGATGTCAACATCTGACCTTTTAGAAACCGATAGTTAGACGGAACGCGTCAACCGCGTTCTCGAAGGGATTCTTCGAGGTTGTGTCCACTCGTTTACGAGTTGAAGTGAGTTCTTGCCGATGGCGGAATTCGCCATCAATCACTCGGTGCATGCGTCGACAACGCATACACCGTTCTTCGTGAGTGGCCTACGCCATCCACGTTTATCTGTCTTCTTAGAGTGTGACTCTACTTTAAGGGGGGGAATGGACTCGCTCGAACAAACCCGATCTGGTTCTTGCTCATCACCCTTCGACAATGGTGTCGACGTGATGAACGTCGATGTCGATGCGATCGATATCGATGATGATGATGACAACGATGCTGGTATATTCAGCATCACCAAAAACGGCCACAGTGAGGACTACGAAACCCTCACTGGTGAGGACAATGTCTTTTCACCAGTGCACACGAAGCGCACTGCTGTCGACAAGGATGAATCAGCAGAGGAATTTCTGCTGACTCGCGAAGCGGTTGTCCGCTTCGTTCAAGACTCTATTGCAGATGCACTAGACAGACAGAAGAGACACGCAGACAATCATAGAAGATCAATTGTTCTTTCATATGATGGAGGATACCTATTTTTACTGTCTACAGTAAACTTACTGAAACACGCAGTGACAACCGTGGGCAGCAGTAAATTACTGCCCAAGTGCATCGGTCCAATTCGTGTGTAGCGCCGAATGGGCAACGCATACACGATTGAACTGCCCCGTAAGATGCGTACGCATCCTACGTTTTACGTCGGTCGTCTCCGCCCGTACTATCAGTACGAGCCCGTTTCGAGATGCGAAGAACACCTCCACGGTCGAGAGCCGAGAACACCCTCAAGTAGTCCCGTTTCAACGAGCCAGTCTGGTCGACTAGCGAAGCGACCTGTTCACGCAGCTCAGCGATATCTCGACGAGCAGCAGCCAGCTCATCACGAAGAGAACGAGTCGAACGTTCGTTCTAAAGTTGCGCAAACGCAAAATCGGCACGATCGTCCGAACGATCGTGCGTTAGGGAATTAAAATTACCCCTCACAAGATCATCAAGCCCATGACGCCGAGATCGTTCATGATCCAGGTCATCTTGCAACTGTTCCGTTAGACCGTTCAGCTCTTGAACATCAACTTGATTCGACCCTCAAGCCGGATCAGGTGTTCCCACCGCCACCACATCCTTTGGTGGACTCAAGCGGTGGTCAACGATTCCTAGTGGAGCGTACTTTGATCCACCGCGATGTGAATGGTGTCCAGACGAGTTACCTCGTTCGCTAGCGTGGCTATCTATCGGCGTGGGACAGCTGGGAGCCTCGTGCCCAGCTGATTGTTAATGTCCTTGGTCTCGTCGAGCAGTACGACGAGACCCACCCGCTGCGTTTTTTTTTTTGAAGAAGGGCCGTCGGTAAACGACCTCCCCGAACGCGAGTACAGGGATTGCAAAGTGTCAATCCCTTCGGCCATCTTGGAAAACTTTCGCGCCCTCCAGTAGGGATCATTAGGGAGGTAGGCCTCCCTAGGGGCACGACTCGAGTTGTCCAGGCAACCTGGACACAAATCACCCCACGAAAGACAGGGTAATCCTGCCTCTCTTGAAAGCCGGTGCAACTTGTATTGCACCCCGACTGCGTTGCGTTTCTCAAAACTGATGCGAGCTGCATCAAGTTTGGCGAGCCAAGCCTCACGGCCAATGCACTCGATGTTATGGATGAGGGCTTTCCATCCCTAAACCAAGGCTTTGACTTCCCGAACACGGCCACCATTGGACCACCGATGTTTAAAAAATGCATCGGTGAAGAATTATTCCTCAGCACAGATAGTTTCCGTGCTGGAATCAGGTGGGTAAATCTTCCTACAGTCGAACGACGGGATTCGATCTCGATCGGTGGTTATGCCGGCCAAGCGGTCCGACTCCTTGGATGACGGCATACAAAAAGACTCGACTTAAGGAGCGTGGCGCAGTACATTTTTGGTCCCTGGCCTCTTGAGTGGTGCCAGCGTGAGAGCTGACATTAGCGATACCCCGATCCCTTGAGTTATTTCGCTCGTGGTGATGTTAGGTGCCTCACCACCAACCCCACGAATCCCACCGTTGGATGGACTTGCGCGAGATGGAGATTCGACGGAAGAATCGCTCGATCCGAAGATCTCGAGCATGATGACGCCACGTGAGCAAGAACCAGTCAACCTGGCTCTTGCAAAGTCCGCCCCGGGCAATCCGGAGGCGTGAGGTGTCGCCTTCGAGTCGGATACATCATCCGACTCGCCAGAATAGATGAGCTTTTTTTCAGGCTCATCTGGATTATAATGCGCGGTACCCGCTGCAGACGCAGTGGATGTATCTGTCGCCCGTGGTGACTCACTACGTGGACGAATCACAGCAGCAGGAGACGAATCAATTGATGTTGAGGTGTGAGAAGTACTCTCTCCGGCTGCACGCATGCGTGCAGCCGCCTTTCCTGCTGCTGAAGTAGCAACTCGTTTGGGTTTTAAAATTATGCGTTAATTGGCAAATGAATGGATTTTGACCAACAAGTGCTCTCTTACCCAAAGTGTTTCAACCGTGGTCACCCTGTCCCAATCGTTTAATTCAAACAACGGGTGATTGATGTTTAAGGGGGGGGGTGTAACGGGGTCGTCTGTTACATGATATTGACGCTAAACGGTGTCGATAGGAATAATGTCGAGCTTAACAATATCCTACCAATATTATTCGAGATGGATAACATTGAAGGAATATCATCCCTTTTGTGGATAAAATTCATGCGCTGCTAAAAAAACTGGTTGATGAAAGACATATCAGCCATAGATTACCACCAATCGCTGCTAGACGCGCGCAATGAGTGGTGAGCAGGTTGTCGTCATACAACGACGTAGTTTAATATAGTTGGATAGAGATTAAAGTTATATTGATAGCTTAATTATATTAGATACAGTTCTCTTATTACCCTTCACTCATCCTAGTCGTTGAGAAGATTAGCTTCCTCTGTACGTACTAGTGTACGTGGAGTTTCGTGGCACCCACACAAAGGATGCCCCGTTACACCTGGTGTGGATCCGCTAAAGGTGTATCTGTTGATGCCCATTCAACGAGTTCTATAAATTGATCCCAGTGTCAAGAAGAAAAAAGAAACGTGTATGAACTACGAGAGTATTTTGTGCAATGACGTAGATATTGTGACGTTTGTTGGAATGTGCGTGTTGCAAAATATGAGAACGGGACCTGACACAACGGGAAGGTGAACTGAGCTGCTCGGTTGACTACGGAAAGGTGGATTGAGCTAACAGGTGTGACGTCTGAATGAGAAAGGTGATGAACGAGTCAGTCGGTTTGGGATCTGAGTGAGAGCTTGTGTTGCGCAGATGCCAGTTCTCCAGTTCCGTAAACCAACAAGTTGTTGTGTTGAGTCCTAAGTATCCACATTCTAATAACGCTTACCAAGCAAAATACAGCAGCTACACTTTGGATGACGTGGAGATGTTAACCTGCTGCTGCAACATAGACTCATGGACGATTTTAATACCTCTCTACGGCATGTCCATCTCGTCTTCAGCATGGAAAGCGCATAGATGGACTGCAATAAAGATCGATAAGCACGTCGTTTCTCATGATGCCAAAAAAACCCTGCTTGGTCTGAAAGACGTGAAAAACGTAAGTATGGAGATGAAACAAGTAGCCTAAGGCGAGCAGTCCCTTCTTGTTGTAGCCCGCAGTATAGCATCCACTTACATGTGGCGGTCAATGATAATTTTATCGGCACACGAATATGATCAATCGTTCCTGTGTGTTCGGCTTCGACTGCAATTTACTAATCTCGATTGAACTTCAGGTTGGCACAGCGCCAGGATGTATCGGGGTTCGGTGATGCATTCGACGCATCCCTGACTTTGCCTAGACACTTCGTCCAGTTTCTTTTCAGGTTTTTGTGTAGAGCTGTGTGTTGCAAGAGTGTCTTCAACGTCATGCTGAGAGCACCCTCTCCAGATGCGTGCTGTCTGGAACGAGCTGCCATCATCCATGTGGACGGTAGCAAATTTCTTAGCCACGCATGCGTGTCCTAGCGATCGAATCAAACGAAAACGTGATCATCCGTGCGGTCTGTGCAGTAAACGTGGGGATTGAGGCGCACAGTACAAAGCCAGAACGGTGCCTATAACAATCAGTCACTTTTTTGAATAGTATTTAGAAGGCGCATTGGATGCGACATACGGTTGCAGGCCGCTCTAAAATTCCAAATGCTGAACGGCTACCGTAAGAAGTAGTGAATTAATGTCCAAATGAAGAGAGAGCTTATCGTGGCCTTTGCGCCTCCCATCGATTGCTGAGTATCACTCGATGACGTGTAATTAACCCCAAATGAAACGCTACTGGACGTGTTAACATATTGCACCGTTCGCTACAAACGCACTCCTTCACAAAAATTATCGCAGTATTCATACTAAGATCCAGAAAGCTGTAGAGGCAAGTCGTCGTTGCCAACGAAGAAGTTCACAGCAAGAAAGAGAATCGAAAGAAGCGCTTTGTGTCTTGCTGCCACCAATATGGCCATCAGCGCGCTTGCCAAACATCTAACAATCTCGCCAACATGGCGTGGCAATTTCATCATATAAACTGGTAACGATAATTAGGCTTAATCTCGTGAGCATGTTTTCCGAGGATAGACATGGTATACCAAATAATCATTACCGCACGAAGCGAAGTGACCCGCTCTAAGCTTTTGATCAAACTGTCCGCAGATGTCGTAGAGGTCGTAAGCGGCATCATACGCACGGGTTGGGTGTAACGGGTTGCCTCCGTTATGTGATAGTTTACAGAAGGTGTATATCAAGTATGATTATTCTGTTAGGACATACATAGCATTCTCACAGTATTGGCTAAATAAGTGACATTGTGTTGCAGAAGTAATACACCGATCATCAACTGACATAGATTAAGGACATCAATTATAAAGCGGAACCACGACAGAAGAACGCAAAAGAATGCAATGATTGGTAAGCAAATAGTTACAGTACATGTTTGTATTTGTACATAGCTAAATGAAGACTGAATCGGATTTATTGACATGAATTTAACTATACTAAATACGGTTCTACTATTACCCTTGTCTCGTGTTGGACCTTCCTCACCACGACGCGTGTACGTATAGTCTCGAGTCACAAGCTGACTATGTGTTCGGCGTAAGTAGCTTGTAATGTGACAGTGCAAGCGACCGTTGCCCCGTTACAGTGGGGACAGACTTGTCAAATGCGCGTCTTACTGACTGGAACGGGGACCCTAAGCAACACACTGGACATCCAGTGGTGAGCTACTATCACTGACAGCAGCGTGAGCAGTGCCTCGCTACCTCTGCAACTCGCCATAGGAAGGGAAAGCAACCAGGAACTTTCTAGTTGCTGGTAAAAGTAAGACCGTCTCAAACATAATAAAGTCCTAATCATTAGCCGATGTCTTAGTCCTAACTTAACCGTGTTTATCCACATAATTTATGCTTGAGTCTTGCATACCACTCGTTGCGCGCGTCCATCGTTGATTGGACTGCTAGATCTGGCTGATGTGATGGCCCATATCAGCCAATCGGTAAGTGTGTCTGAACATTAATCCTTATGGTAATATTTACGAACATTATCAAACCTTGTGATATTGTTCTATTTAACAAGTACCAAGGACTGATTTAGTGTGACATGCTCAACTTGTTACATCAACCTCCTAAGGATAGCCACTCTATCACTATCATGCTGATGTGGTAACCGTACGACCACATCAGGACAGAGAGCACTTGTCTTATTCTAATTCTTTCATTTCCCAATTTTCAACGCATGGTGGACAACTCCATGCGATGCGCGGAGAAAGCTGCTTAGAAGGCAGCTGCGAGTGTGAACGCAGCTTCTCTTGAAGATGCTTAGCGTCTCGCTACATATAATTCTTTTTCTGATGCCGCTTCCTGAGCACCAGTTGCTTCAGATGCACGTGGTGAGTCACCACGTGCTAATTATGATAGCTCCTAAGTGGAGCTCATTTATTTGGGGGAGACGGACGGTGGTTCAGGCTCGAGGAAGACATCTAAGTCACCAAAGTCTATGGAGGCGGCCGAATACGAGCCTCGAATAGGACTCGAGGGGGTAGTTGGACTCTTGTTAAAAATTAGAGTCGGTATGGTTTGGAGGATGGTCATGCTAACTCATCACCCGCGCCTGATACTTCGCATTCGCCTTCTTGTGAATGCGGTGATGACTTGCGCCGTCTTGGTGAAAATTCTAGTAGTACCAAGACTTCCGTTGGTACCGCACAGAAAGCTCTAGACGGCAATGTGCTGCTTCTAGTCCTCAAACAAAAGTCTTGGGTATTACTAAAAAGGCTTGTCAATGATTTTTCAGACAAAAATTCTCCATCATCTAATATTGTCATTTGATGCGAGGCTGCTGCACGGGCTCACGTCAGCGCTAGTAACGTTTTCGCTAAAGTAGACTTCTATCTGGATGCTTTTTTGAAGCATCGTTGGTATAGTGGTGTTAGGTTTGAGAAACGGACCTTGACTGGTACAAAGGCTAGGTTGCACTATCTATCTCGTGAGGCAAGAATTCCATGCCTCACGTGGGGCAACCCACTTCCGTGTTGTTCCAACAGCACTCAACGCACCCAAATTGAGGTGTACTACCTTTCTTGGCCCTGGGGTAGGGCGCAGTTCTCTTTTGAGATGCGCGATGCGATTGCTAATCTGCAATTGATCTACCAGCGCCGTGAGATAACCTATTTGAGCCATTGGATGTGTCTCGTCGTACTGGTCGACGAGACCCTTAACGTCAATCAACCATAAGCTGCATGCGAGGCTCCTAGCTGTCTTGCGAAGGCGGATAGCCGCTCCAGCGAACAAGACAACTTGTCCGCTGCCACTTCACGTCGCGGTGGCTCAAGATACGCTCCCCGTGAAAGCGTTGGCCACCGTGCGATTCCACCAATGGATGTGGTGGGGGGAAGTACAACTCCAAATAGTTTGTTGTAGTTGCAGACGAAGCTCGGTCGTCTCCATCAAGGCTTACAAGCTACTTGTAATCACACGTAACAAGAGAGACAGGAGCGTCTCTCGTTGAAGGCGTGGGTGCAACGAATCAGCCTTTATCGATCAAAAGATTGATCAGAATTTGCATTCTACATATTGGAGAATGAGTGGAAGAGTCAAGACTTTAGTAACGAAGTGGCTGATATTCATCGCCAGCATGCGGCACTGTATA